AGTTTTAGCATCCCACCTGTGAATGATTTTTCTTATTATGTCTAAACATCTTACCATGCGGCTATATGCTTAACTGCTATATCTCTATGATTGCCAATGATTGGCAGTTGTGTCATTCAATTTGGAATAGTATTAATTCTTATTCTTATGGGCTCGGTTTCATTTGAGCTGTACATACATAAAAACTCTTTCAAATTACTTGAGGCCCAAACGTTCCAAAATGAATGACACAGTCTTGATTGCTTCATAGAGTAATTTGTAGCACAAATAAATAACTGGAACGTAAGCATATATTGTTTATAAAACTCATATCATGGTTTAGTAGATGCCGATATTTTGATCGGGTGAGCGAGGGTACTCAATTCATGACCTTCCCCCGCATACCTCAGGTTCCAAACCGAGGCATCATTAGTTATGACGAACAGTGGTCTTTGGCACGAGTCACAGGTTTTCTAATTTTTTCAAAAGATTAGGTGGTGACTCTGAGATTTGGCGGTGTAGTCCATTCTGGTATATTTTGCATAAATAGATTTTTCTATAAAAGTTACTAGATCTAGACTCCCATTTTCTGTTTCACATTGCAATAGTGATATCGGATCAGAAATCGAGAGTCTGAACTGTTCGGTACACTTGGTAACCTCAAAAGCATCCTACAGCAGCCTGCTTCTAGGCCTCTTAGTTACAAAGCCTAGAATGTTGTCTTTGAGACTGACATTTTCAAGCATTTCTTTAACCCATTTGTAACCTTCCCTGCTCCTTGGACAGACTTTCTGGACAACCGAAGTTTCCACAGTACATGTGTTTACTGAGTGATCAGACTGTTTCTGGCCATGTGAAGAGCCAACTTCTTTGGTCATTTGAGATGACTTCATCTCCTTCGAAACCAACTCCAACTTCATTTCATTCGTATGGATGTCCAGAACATCCAATTCTCTGAGATTCAAGCCTCTTTCCAAAGCCTAGATGATCGAGTCTAGAACTACAACAATGGCTTCCACCTTATTCACTTCTAGAAAAGGGTCTTTGTATCCCCATTGTTTTTTCACCTTGGCTGGAAATTGAAGCTTAATCTTTTTAATCTGCTCCTGAATCCTGTCTCGAAAAATAACACAATTTTTAGTTGAATAAGACCAAGTATTATGCTATTTACAGTATATTTTACCATTTAATTCATTCGAAGTCGGCATAACTACTCCTTTGGGAAGCTTTAGAAACTGTGTTGCTTGTAAATGATCAAATATTTCACCAACTTTAGAAATATCAAAAGAATATTTTCTATGGAATTCTTTCTTCTTAAACTGATGGTCTATTTTAGTTTCTTTTTTTCCCTATAATAGCTCCTATATGAGGAATTATTTCTATTTTGTTCTTCTTCTAGCAACGATTCGTACCTAGACACTTTATAAGTCGAATTGACTAAGTCTCTAAAATATGTTGCATCAAACTTCTTTCGAAACTCTAAGTCATTTTGAGCCAATCAAACAAAAGCAGGCGTAGGAGGACCACTTTATACTTACTTCTAGCCCTTTAAATCTGGTTATAAACTAAATTGTGGTTTAGGATGTTCTAAATAAGTGCACTTTTTGAATTTTTATAAATTAAAAAAAATATAAAAAAGTAGAGAAAGTGGGTAGAAAAGTATAGAGGAAATGTTGATTGATGTGACTCAAATAAGTGTATGTATGTAAAAAAAGTGCACTTTTTTAGTGCATGCCAACCACCTACTAAGTAGCCTTTTGTTTTGGCCTTTGGCGTAGCCTTTCTAAGTCAACTATTGTAACTTTTGGTTTAGTTTGGAAGAATTGTGCATGAAACATTTCTTCCATTTGCACCAAGTTTGAACTGTACTAGGTAATAGACTGATATACCAAGCGAAGGCTGGAGCAGTCAGTGAATTAGGAAACTATTGAAGCTTTATATAGTCGTGATTCGTGTATTCCCCACACTATGCTGTGAACCTAGAGATATGTTTTATGGTTGACTAGTTTCCATCTCCCCTAAACAAGGTGAAATCTGGGACTTTATAACCGCTTAGAAACTCATGTAACCTATCAACCCAGCCAGGGTATGGTTTTCTATACACTAGTGTTTACACCCCCCAAGCTATAAGACCACGTACTTCACGCACCATGTCCAGCAACTGATCTCTAGGAACAACATTAGGGGCACCTTGTTAGGCAATATGGTATATACCCTTAATGGACTTGTTGTCTTGGGGCTTAAGGCTACCCAAGCTGTACATTTGGTATGGCTGGCACAAAGGGTGCAGCCATTCGATCCAAAGGATGTACTTTAGGATTTGGTGCCTATTCTTAACCTATAATGTCTTCTTCTCTTAAGGGGACTAATAGTGGTCTATAAGGATCGCTGACCGCCCAAGTGTAGGTTTGAAGACTGAATTTGACACCATTCATGTAGTACTTTGTGTTTAAGCTTGTGGAAGACCATGGCTAGTTACTAGAAGCATTGGAAGGTAACACTCGAGGCTCTCTATACATAGTGTGTGTTTCTTAGGCACTAGACATTCTCCAGTAAGGTCCTGGACCAATTGGAGGCGTACGTCTAACCAGTTCAAAGAAAGATACAGTATTTCTTGTTCTATTTTCGCCATTATTTTGGCTAGTACTAGGGGTTGCCCTTTGCTAAGTTGATGTCTAAATAGGGTTCCTATTACTAGAAATAGGATGCATATTTTGATTTATGTTATCCGACCTACTATCAATTCTCTGAACAAGTGAAGCTCTAAATGAATCAGACCAATTTTTTAGGTTTGTTGTCATTATTTGGCTCATTATAGACATTATTCCACTCCATTGTTCATTTGACATGCTAGTGGTAAATATTAGTGGTTTACTCCTGCTACGACTAATCTGATCAAGTGTTTGGCCTTGAGAAGGCGCATGTTCATAAGTTTGACCTTGCGTATGGCCAATTTGTTAGATAGGTGTGTATATTAAACGAGGATCTTCCTCTACTTTCATGGCCATCTAAATGCCGGCCGAAAACTGACAACGGGTCAAACATGTTTGAACCATATTTTTAACACAAAATTGGTCCCATTGGGCATGCTAAAAATATATATATATTGTTGGCTATTTTGACACTTCGAAGGTTAAAAATGTAATTCAAGCATGCCAGCCTGAAAAATCCTTGCAAATAATAAATGTCAATTTGTATCAAACGATTGTATTAAGGTTCTCTTAGCCTCAATGAATAGAAATTTATTGTGTTGTGTTGAAAAGATGAACAAAACTTATAGTTTAAATTTGTAACAGAATGTGAGGGAGAGACTGGGCAGAAAATTATAATTGATTTATTGAATAAACAATTACAATATATTACCTTTAGTAAGGGCAACTTCGAAACTTTAGACCCACCGAGTTTTGAAATTATAATGGTAATATACTCTTATGAAAAATAAGTGCAGTGCGTAAAAGTAAAGTATAAGAAAGTAAAGTGCAGAAATTTAAAGATAAATGAAATTGACAAAGATGTAGCCTGGATTTAGTCGGAGGGCCTCTTTAGTCTTTATTTTTATCTATTTATAGTCTCTTCTTGGCGCTTTCGAAGCAATTAGGCTGTCAACATCCGCCATGATCTCATTCTCTTTTGCTACTCCTCGGGGCCATGAACTCCTCTTCATGTGTGTACAACTATTGATAATAGTTTGTTTGTTAACTTACTCTCCATGTGCCATTCACGTGTTGTTTAGCATCTCCATTAGCCGAAATCTTGCATTCGCAACTTAAGTGAGCACCTTCAAAGGTAAGACTCTTCGTTATCTTGATGTATCCCGCAGGACACCCCTTGCTTGCCACATGCCACCTTTATATTGGGTGGTTTAAATGTATCCCGCACGACACCCCTTGCTTGCCACATGTCACCTTTATATTGGGTGGTTTAAATGTGAGGTCAACCATTATACAGTATTTTTGTCTTACATATTTCATTTTATATGATTTTTATATAATGTTTCTACATTATTGCTCCAAGAGACAAGAAGTCTTCCACTAATAAGATGTTTTATCTTCCGATAGATTGTTTAGTTCAAAAAATTCCTAATTAGTTGGGAGTTCCTGATGGTTACTCTATTTCTAATTAATATAAAAAACTGCCTTATCCCAAGGTCTGAATTTCATGTTCATATTACTTAATTCATGAGTTTGGCTTTGACATGAGATTAATCTCTCGTAGTTTATATTTATTAAATAGTGGATTTTGATCTTTCTGTTTGGTCAGTGCATGCAATATGGTCAAACACCAGAAATCTGTCTTATTATCGCAGAGGATACACAATAGTTTTTAGCATCAAGGTATCAAATTTGGCAACATTCTTTAACGTTATATTTAGATCGTAAATTTGAGCAGAAATTTAAAAAGAAAAAGTGAAACATGAATAGAATATAGTTATATTTCACTCACATATTCCCTTTCACTTTTCCTTTTCAAATCTCTATAAAAATCTATGATACAAATACAACTTAATAGAATAAAAATGATCATTTCTTGGCGCATTGATATTACAGAAATAGTCCCTCTGCAAGCAAGGTAAGTTTGTGACCCCCGCTAAACCTCACAATAGCAAAAGATTCGTGCATATGGGAAGCTACCATTTTTTTTTTTTTCACATTGTCTTGATCATCAACACTCTTTTTAACTGTTTATTGAGTTAGTCTGATGCAACTTTTCTTAAATTAAAAATTGATAATAAAAGCATTAAATTAAAAAGTACTTCTTCTCCTGCTTATAAATAAATAATATTTTTCAGCTTATTTAAGTTATTTCTGTCTTATAAAAAAATTATACAAAGTACTCCGCATAGGTTCCAAGCTCCGATAAGCTATAGCAAACAAACAGGATTATTATAGTTTTTCTCTATGTCATTGTCAATTAAATGAAACAATAAGGCTCGCAGGTGTCTTAGATGGTCCTCTTTGCATGTATCACTTTCATGATTCAAAACACATCAAAGATGCACTATAAATAGAGGATAGAATTAAGTAGAGTCTTAAGTTGCGCGCACGCACGCACGCACATACACACAGAGATGGCAAGCCTGCAGCAGCAGCAAGTTACTGGAGGAAGCAATCGCATTGCAGCAGTTGATGTTGGGGAGTTGGAGATGAAGACTCAATCCAACGACACCTACGAAGACTTTGATCATGAAGAACAAAAGCACCGGGTACACACTACACAGTCTCTCTCTCTCTCTCTCTCTCTCTCTCTCTCTCTCTCTCTCATCTTTTGCTTCGTGTTATTAACTCCTGAAGAACATGTGTTTTTGTTTTTGTTTATGTTTTAGAAACCTGGTTGGAAAAAGTTTCTCTCATTTGTTGGCCCGGGTTTCCTTGTTTCATTGGCATATATTGACCCTGGAAACTGTAAGTCTGTCTGTAACTCTCTCCAATTCTTTTAGGAACACAGAAATTGATCACAAAACTCGACACAATCCACGAATGTGGAGCCCACAAAAGTTAGAAACCACCTTATATGAATGGGTTATATTTGGTTATGTCTTTTGTTTGTGTTCCCAGATTTAGTAACTCTGTTTCTCTGTCTTGGGTGTTTTTTTTTTTTTTTTTTTTTTGGATTATTAACTAGACAATCCTTGGTTTTACATGACACAGTGGAAACTGATTTGCAAGCAGGAGCTAACCACGGATTTGAGGTAATAAATTATAATATGAAAATACCAGAAAATTTTCAAATTTATCAAGATTAAAAATAAAATTAAAAAAAAATATTTTAAAAGGAGAGAGAAAATGCCCAACTTCTAAAGTTTGTGTTATAGTGAATAATTTGCATGCAAGATTGGGAAACTAATGAGTCCCCATTTCATATACTATATTTTCAGCTACTTTGGGTGATCCTTATCGGAATGATCTTTGCTCTCATAATTCAATCACTCGCTGCAAATCTTGGTGTAACCACAGGTACGCAAAATTTATATATATATATAATAACTAACAAAACAAGTACAGAATAATATGTATTATGATCCCTCAGTAAGTATTTTTGGTTTGCCAGGCAAACATTTAGCAGAGTTGTGCAAGATTGAGTACCCAAAATATGTAAAGTATTGCCTGTGGTTGTTAGCAGAGGTCGCTGTCATAGCAGCAGATATTCCGGAAGGTACGACCTCTCATAAATAAATGGTGACCAAAGAGTAAAATCTAAAGTCTGACTTTATCAAATTCACTTATGGAAATGTAGAATTTTGTGTTTTATCTTTTATGATTTGACTGATCATAATTAATGGAGACCAAATAAATTTCCCTTAATTGTTAGGAGACCTTCATGTTCATATGATATACTTAATTTTTGTTAATGTTTATTTTGTGGCAGTGATTGGGACAGCTTTTGCTCTAAACATTCTCTTCCACATCCCACTCTGGGCTGGAGTTCTCATCACTGGTTTGAGCACTCTCCTACTTCTTGGTCTGCAAAAATATGGGGTAATATAATAATTAATCATTTTTTTTTTTTTTTTTTGTGTGTGTGTTGCCTCTCTATATAATAAAAACTTTCATGTTTTTTCTTTATCCGAATAGATGGTCTAGACAACAGAGATTAACCCAAGACAACCAATTAAAAAAATATGACAAGTCGTTGAACTTTTTTTCTTTTTTTGATTAATTTACTTTTGTGTTCTCTTAATATTTTTAATAATATTCTTTTTATCTTGTTATATTCTTCACAAATACCTTCCAAAATCACTACACTAATGTTCAAGTAGGTAAAATATGAAGAAGAGATTATAATTTATGTAAGATGTTCAATTTTTCAAGGTAGCATTCCATATAGCAAATCCTGTTTGATTCTCAAGAAAGAGAAAGAAACTGGAAGAAAATTAAAACATTAATTGCTAGATGAATTCTCCCTATACCCTTTAATTGATCAGTGATGAAACACTTTGATAGATTAATTCTCGGATTTTTTTTTTTTTTGACCTAATTAACTTCCTCATATGTTCTAATTAATTTTTTTTGTTCTCTTTAATTGGGTGGGTTAGGTGAGGAAGCTGGAAATGGTGGTAGCGGTGTTTGTGTTCATGATGGCAGCATGTTTCTTCGGGGAAATGGGTTATGTGAAGCCTCCGGCAGTAGATTTGATTAAGGGGTTGTTTATCCCTAAGATCAATGGTCAAAGCGCCACCGCTGACTCCATTGCTTTACTCGGGTCCTTAGTTATGCCGTACGATCCATCTCATCTTTTATATGACACATTTCTTGATCTAATATCAAATTTTCATCAATATTTCACTAACCAATGTTTTTAAATTTTTACTAATTCATGTATCTTATTCCTCAACAGACACAACCTTTTTCTTCACTCAGCTCTTGTACTCTCTAGGAAAGTACCAAATTCTGTCAGAGGCATAAATGTAAGCCAACAATGCAGAGTATAAATTTCACATTGTACATGTATATATTTAAATAAATTATATACACACAAACGAAAAATACTTTTCAAGATCTCCCGACCAAATTTAACTATATAGATACAAATGAATAGCCTTAATTTTAGCGATGTAGAATAGATATCTTGTTCCTATTATAAAAAATAAAAATAAAAAAAGGTATGGATTTTGGACAATAATTTGTTCATGGAAACTCATCAAATAATTGATACATTTACCGTCAAATTTGCATAAAAATTATCTAAAATTGATGTCTTTGGATTTCTTAATTTTGCAGGATGCATGCCGATACTTCTTGATAGAGAGCGGTTTTGCATTGTTGATAGCATTTTTAATCAATGTTGCAATAGTCTCCGTATCAGGAACTGTTTGTTCAGCCAACAACATCTCACAGAACATCTTAAATCAATGCAACAATCTCACTGTTGACTCTGCCTCTTTCCTTTTAAAGGTCTAAACCACTATAGAAAAAACTCTAATTACATAATTAAGTATGAACTCTCACTGAAATTTTGATTTCTCATTTTCAGAATGTGTTAGGAAAATCAAGCTCAATCTTGTACGCCATTGCGTTATTAGCTTCAGGGCAAAGTTCCACTATTACAGGCACTTATGCTGGACAATTTATTATGCAGGTTGTGAATAATTTCTTCTTGTTTTATTTTTATCAGAAAATATTCTTACGCATTTGCATGATTATCGTTAATATGCAATATTAATGAGTTAATTCATGGTGAAATCTCTAGGGCTTCTTGGATCTTAAGATGAAGAAATGGAAGAGGAACCTAATGACAAGGTGCATTGCCATCACACCTAGTCTCATTGTCGCAATTATTGGTGGAGCTTCGGGTGCGAGCCGGCTCATCATCATCGCATCGGTTTGTCACGCACAAAATCTTCTTTTTTTTTTTTTTTTTTTTTTTTTGGGTAGATGGTACTATCATTTGAACTTCCATTTGCTCTCATCCCACTCCTAAAATTCAGTAGCGGTACCACCAAGATGGGGCCACACAGAAACTCAATATATGTAAGTTTTTTTGTTTCTTATTTTTATTTTGTGGTCTTAAATTTTTCTTTTTTTTTTTTGCAATTATATAAGATGTATAGTCGTAAGACTTGTTATTAGTTGTTAGTTATTTAGGGTGTAGAAAACATTGTTGGAAGATTAGTCTACAAAGCCCATAATAACAAATTCACAAATATGATATAAAATGTTGAAAGTGAACCCTCAACCAAACTTGAATAAAATAAAAAAATAAAAACCTCAAACAAACTGACCCTCAAACCATATAAGTTGAGGGTTGCTAAAATTTCATCATTTTTTCATCTCATGCATGAATCTATACCACAATATAATATTTATATATAGAATCCACTATATTCAAAAAAATAATAGAGTCTCATTATCTACTAGATAAGTTTGTCTTACATATGTACATATACATAGACTAGTATTTATTTTCAAGTGACAAAAATAAATAAATAAATAAAATTAAAATTAAAAAAAGGAAAAATTCAGTTGATAACATATATTATTTTTTATGAAACACAGAGCTTTAACAAAAGATACCACCCATTATAAGTTTACAAGTTTTTTTGCTTTCTATTATCAATGACTAATCAACTAATCCATTGATTTGAGTCTATGGGTCATTGGAATGAAAACTATGGTTAGGATTAAAAAAACCTGCATTTAACTAACCATTTGAAGATCATGCATGCAGATTATTATCATTTCATGGATTTTAGGGCTTGCAATTATCGGTATAAACATCTACTACCTAAGCACGGCTTTTGTTGGGTGGATAATCCACAGCACCTTACCCAAAGTTGCTACTGTGTTCATTGGAATCATAGTTTTCCCAGTAATGGCTATCTATATCATAGCAGTGATCTACTTAATGTTTCGTAAAGATGCTGCTGTGACGTTCATCGAGCCAGCAAAGCACGACCCCAACATTCAAATGCGCATGGAGAAAGGGCAAGGCAAGTCTGAGGGGGTGACAGAATCCGATGACCATGTACCTTACAGGGAGGACCTTGCTGACATCCCGTTGCCTGAATAAGGATTGTGAAGTCAAGGGTGAAGCCCTTGAATCAACAGCTAATATGGATTAGCATTTGATCAACGAGCTCCTATTTTGTGATCATGAAGAGTGCAGTAGTATGTTTGATGTTGTTGAACATTCCTACATCAGTTTCACATGTACAAGAAAATCCAATAGCAATGTTATGATTGTATCATAAAGTGCACGAAACACTCTTTGTTTAAGAAATCAGATTCCCTAAAACTTGCTTCCATGCAAGACGACAAAGCTCTTTCAAGATGTCGTGAATGTCTTGCACAGTTCAATAATCAAGCTGCAAAAAGTATCAAACTACTCGAATTCGACTAAAAATTTCAATATCTAACATTTTATCTATAAAAGTCAAACTAAAAACTCGTTTTAAAAGTGAAACAACTCAAACTTGGGCCAAATAAAGCTCATTTCAAATTGACTCACTAAAATTTTCAAACTAAATTTAAACAACAAAATACTTGGCTCAGCTACCCATCACAAATATATATACATATACACTCGGCTCAACTCTTTTACTGCTTAGATTACCCTGCTTGCTGGAACAAGGATCATTTCGTAGAACCAGAGGAAGCATTCAAAGCTACAAGCATTAACAATACCACATTCCCTTGAAATATAAAGAGACATGCAAACGGAACACACTCAATGGAAAGTCAAAAACTATTCAACCACTGATCAATCAACACCTAGAGAAAGAACAATTATATTATGCAATGAAATGAACACAAATCATCAAATAAGACTAAATTGCTCTAATTCTTTGCATTATCTGTACAATAGGTAGCAACAATTTTAGCATCCTAGTCAATTTCTTCTTTATCCTTACAATTGAATGTGAAGACTAACTGTAGACGTCCCCGAACGCCCCGGGAGGGTGAGTCTCGTTCTGTTCATTTGGGGTTACTACAGGTCGGACTCTCAAATTGTCACGGTTCTTAATCTGAACCAAAGAGTCCAAACTGATTGACCATTGAATTGCGTATGCCTTGATCATCTCATTGATAGTCTTCATATGTGCATTATGGACTGCTTTGCCAGATACAGAGTCGCCACCTAAATGTTTTATTTTGGGAAATTTAGGAAACCCTGACTCGTTTGCCTAAGGCTGTGTCCGTCATCACCAAAGTTGCCTCGGCTCGGGAACTTGGGTACGATTGGGGAAGGTCACTTCGTGAGCACCCCCGCTCGCCCGATCAAAGATCGGCCTCTACTAACCATGATATCTATTTTTGAAAACATTATGTGTTCTTATTCCGGTTATTAACCTATATTACTATGTGATGCGCACAGCATACAAGTATAGACTGGGTCGCCTGAATTGGAACAAAACATTTCATGTTTGTTTGTTTGAAAATGGTTTGATGATGCTACTCGCAAGTAGGCTAAGACGTGGATTTGCCACGCTCGGGTGGGCTTAGAAAAACGTGATTTTGCCACTATCTAGTGGGCTTTAAAACACACATTTGATGAATTGTTCCAATCCAAATAACCCAACCTTCACCCACAGGCATTCAGGCAGTTATATCACATAAGCAATTAGCCTCATGGTAAGCATGCTATTCATGGCAGTCACCCACACGCATGCAAGGATGCTACACCGAGTACTCCAAGCCAAAAAAGAAGCTGATTAGAAATCCATGCATGATCCTAATTATACAGAAATGCCTAATGCAACACATGCAAAAATGCACCTATAGCAGGCTCGGCTATTCTAGACATGACATATGAAATGCTACAGTTAACATATATTCAACTTGGAATTGAAAATACAATGCAGTTAGTATGATGCGCCGAGCCCGGTGCATGCAATACAGATGAATGAATGCAAACATGCTGTCATACTGTATGCTAATTGAAACATGCCCTAATCTAACCATCATAAGCGGATAAATAAAAGGGAGAAAGACGTGGGGTTGGAAGACATACATCACACGCACGCACACTTATTACAATTACGCCCTCGCGCAGAGGGTTCGAATGAATAGTACAGTCCAAATAATAAAGTCCAAATAATACAGTCCAAATAATACAGATTCTTAATTAATTTACAAATTTAACTAAGAAAGCTGTAAACTGGCATGCAAGCCAGGGACTGCCTTGACTCTTCTTCCGATGATGGATGATGCATGTCTAGGCTGCCTTGCGCGGAAATCCACAGCGATGTCCCGATCAGCCTCTGTTTGCAATTTATTCTTGAAAAGCGCGCCAAGCCCCGAAAGACTGTTGATTCTTGATTTGCTGCAACAGAGAGCAGGAAAAGGGCATGGCAATGTATTTTCACAAATGTATGCATGCCTCGATCCTCGTGCCACCAATCACGCATCTCGATGTATGATGGCCGAGGAGTCGATTTGCATTACTCAATATAGAATGAATGCACATGAAAAATCAACTAAAACCTAACTCCATCATGGATGATCCGGAGTGTCGGTGACTTGGAATTGAGACACGTTCCGTCACTCGGAATACGAAACGTACCTCGTTTCCCGTGCTCGGGCTAACCCCTATCCCAAGCACGATGCAATATGCATGATATGCATGAAATGCAACTAATATACAACCTAGCATGCACAATGCTATGAAATGGCATACACGATGCACGAGATGACATGGCATACACAATGCGCTAACATATAACCTAGCATACGCAATGCTATGAAATGAAATGGCATACACAATGCATAATGAACTTACACCAACACAAGTGGACCTCAGCCGCACTCACATAGGAGGCCATAAGACGAAAATGAGACAACTCGGAATGCGTGCACACATGCACGCAAACCGATGACCGAACCTAAGGCACGAAATGGCACTCTAACAAGACATGGCAAGGCATGAAATATGATATGCAAACATGCAGATTTCAGCGCTAAAATATGACCCGAAACAGCCCCGAATCATGACAATATAGCACCCGATGCATGAAGTGGTCCCGAAACGCAAGATTAAGCACATAAAATGACTTGTAGCTACATCAAGCATGCATTATTTGTACATGAGGTATGAAGACAGATTTAAGGCAGCACCAAAACAAGCATTTTTACAGTTTTAAGCAAGACCAAACAGCAAACACAAATAGGGCAAAACTAGCATGCAAAAATAGCCCTAAATGTGAGATAAAGAAGCAAGTCACGTCTGCAGGCCTCAAACAGATGAGGGCCGTTCAACAATGCTGAAGAGGGGCCCAAAATATTGTACTTCACAGTTGATGGCCGGACCCAAAACAGTATGCAAGAATGCTCAAAATGCTATGCAAAATAAGGCCAAAAAGAGAGATATAACACAAAGTATATAAAGGATGCCTCAAACAATGAAAGACCCTTAATGAAACATGAAGAGGGGGTCAAAATAAGGTCATTTGTAGTTCGGACCAGAACCCAAAAACAGAAGCAAAAGAGGCTAACAAATCATGAAAAAATATGGCCAAAAGAGAGATATAAAGGCAAGTGATAAATGAAAGCCTCAAACAGCAATGAGACCTTCAACAATGTTGAAGAAGGGCTCAAAATAAGCTACTCTTCAGTTCATGACAGAGCTCAAAACTGTTTATACATAGGCTAAAAATGCTATACAAGAAGATGGCATACAAGGGAGATAATGAAGCAAGTGCAACAAGGAGACCTCAAACAGGTAAATACCCTTAAACAAACATGAAAAATAGCTCAAAATAAGCCTAGTTCTAGTTAGGGTCGGAGCCCAAAACAGCAAGTAAAAATGACTTAGAAAGCATGCAAAATAAGCTCAAAAAATGGGAAAATGGAACTTACCCTTGTAGACCAAGTCTTGACAGCCTCTTGGCTTGAGTTGCAGCACTCCTAGGCTCTGAAGAACAACTTCAAGTGGCTTCAATGGAGTTTGGAGGTATGGTGCTAGGTGGTGGTGTAGAGAAGGGTGTTGGACTTGAGAGGTTTTGAGCTTGGGAGTGTGGAGAAAGAGAGATACAAAGCAAGAGCTTAGGGGGGATTTTTTGTAACCCTTAAAACCAGAGCTGGAGGCTGGTTTATATAGGCAAAACGAGGGGAAAAAATGGGGGGGAAAAATAGAGGGAAATGAATCAAGTTTCCCCCCAAAAGGGCCAAACCCTCGGATATGAGTGAAGTGTAAAACAAAATAAATGGCTAGAATGTACTTGGGACAAGGATCATGGCCGCTAGTTTAAATGGGCAAAAAAGATCATCCACCAGAAAAATGTGGCCGGCCGGCTATGGCCGGCCATGCCAAAAAGAGGGCCTCCCATGTGTGTACAACACAACCATGTTGTCAAAAATTGGAGAAAGTGAACCAGGAGAGAGAAAAGGCCACTTTTAGGAGGGGTTCAAAAGGGTCACACACAATTACTGGCCGGCCATATGATATTGGTGGCCTCCCTGGTGTGTACAACACAAATATGTGGTTTAGAGCTGGAAAAAGTGGCCTTAGGGTGGTCAACATTGGCTTTCAAGTGAGAAAAATCGGGCGACGGAGGGCGATGAAGGGATAAAGTTGGCTGACAGAACAATTACTGGCCTTCCATCCTTCTATGACCTTCCTAGCAATGAAACAGAGGTCCCTGCCAAAAATGAACTAAAACCGATGCAAAATGAAGGTTCGGGGGCTGAAACGCGCAGCCTGGGGCCTCGAAAACTGACTGTTAGGCACCGGAAGTGGTGTTCAACCACGAAGTTCGTCTCTCGGACCACAGTGTCCCTCGAAAGGGAGTAAATGAGATGCATGCCAAAAACTGAAGCAAACGGAGGTGGTTAAGCGGTCCCGAACCGAGGCACACGGCCAACGGCTCCGAAAAACCGGAAACCGGACTCCAAACGGGCAAAATGGCCTATGACCACGAAACGTAGCCTACGGCCATTGAGAGATGATCTACGAGACCTCTCCCTCCCTTCGGGAAGAGAAACAGAGAAAATCGAGCCTGGTTCGCAAACCGAGGCAAGGTATGAAAGAGTTCAGAAGTCCGGAGACAAGGCTCGCAGCCGAGACTATGAAACTTTTGAACGAGCACAATATGCAACATCACCGAGCGCTCAATCGGTGACGTCTGAGTCTTAAGGTCGGTCAAAAATGGGGTGTCTACAGTTGCCCCTCTTTGACAGAACTCGAAAGTCACACGTGACGGGAGTGAATGTCAAAGCCCAGAGATGACCCATTTTTGACAAGGCCGAAGACTTACACAAACATACAAAATAACGAAGATGTGCCCACAGGCATGCCCGCAAGCAGGGGCAAAA